CAAGCCTCTGGGCACAGTCCAGCAGCTGCTCCACCTCTGTAGCAGAGGGTGCAGACTGAATAGCCTTGCAGTGCTCACGACAGCGGTGATTTTTTCATTCTTCTTAGAAAGGGGAGGGCCAGACCTTGTGTGCAGGTAGTAGTTTGGGTCCAGGTACTCAGCACCTCTTCCTACTCTGGAAAGTATTTTACATGAAGCTATGAGAGCGGTAAAACTTGCACCATGTGCTCCTGTGAACAAACGCACCCATTTACAGCCCAAAGGACAATCTGCTTTTCTGCTTTCTAGGATCCCAGCTCTGTCTTCAGTTTCTTGCTCTCCATTTGGACTGTTTTGAAACCACTGTCATAGTTTTCTTCTTGTTTTCATGGGGGATAAAGTTAGATGCCTGTAGTGTCATGTTCTATGAAGCTTCCCTCACTTTCTTTGTGAAAGAAGGACTCCCACAAACTTGGAAGAGTAGTCCTTTTCATTGCATTTTTCTAGCCCAAATCCTTCTCTCAGTGACCCTGTTAAGGTGAATGTAGGCCTGCAGTTACAAAAGAGGGGAAAATTTTTTTTTTTCCTTGTCCAGCATTCCAGCCTTAGCATTATAACCATGCAATGAAATGTGTGGTTGTCAGTGGCTGCAGGCTGGGAAGGAAAACTCTACCTGCGCTGTAAGAGGAAAGAGGTAATTTCAAGATTGGCTCACAGAGAACCTCCCTGCAGCATGCTCTCCAAGGATGATAATCACTTCTGCCTCATGATCCAGCAGGAGGGCTTAGCACCTAAATGGTGATGTCCTTTGAGGATTAAATGGAAGACAAGACCTTCTGCTGCCTTGGCATGTAGCTGGATTTTACCCTGACAGTTTCCTCTTGCTGTACACTTTCCAGTTTGCTAAAAGCTGGGGGCTGAATTGCTTTCATGATTTGCCTTCTTTCACAGCTTTTCTCCTCCTTTTGTCTGAGGCTTTTGCTTGCTTCAATGTATGTTATAGAGTGTGCTACTCCAGAGACTTCTAGTCTTTTCTGTATAGCCATCGCGTAACTCAGCTTGTTTTAAATGGAAGTAAACAGAGGGATTGTGAGAGAGTTGAAAAGAAAGAAAATTAGCTACTCAAAAAATTTTTGGAAGTGAAAATACTTTGCAGTCTCTAGTTTGGATTTATAATTCATGCAGTGAAATAAGATGAACCAAATATGAACATTTTCGGTGCTTCAGTTCCCGTTCCCACAGATGGCAGAGGCACTGGATGAGAACCCTAAGCAGAAGAGGTCTTGCGACACATTGGATATATGCATTCCGTCTGCAAGTGCCCTGCCTACAGCGTTTGCAGCACATACACATCTTCATCCTGAATGACATATTTTGATAATCTGATCAACCAAAGAGCGCAGAAATCCTCTCATGTTCCCGTGACTCTATTTAGCAGTTGCATTTAAAATGCATGTGAAAGCATAAGATCCATAACTGATAGGGCATTGCTTGCAACACAATCAAATTCGATTTAGAGGAATTGCCTCTCAAACATATTCTGGACTAAACTCAACTGTCTGGTCTCATTTCTCCAAGGGTAAATAATAATTATTATTCTGTGACTGTTTGTTACACATTTTACAAATGATGGCTTTGAAAGGCATCCCAAGCAGAGATGTACATTTCTCATTATCCCCACCCATAAATCACGTGTGCAATATTTTATAAAATAAAAAAGTATCAGAAAAGGATAACACTAATTTGGATGTCTTTGTTCTTTTCCTCCTCCAGCATTGCACTTGTTTCTGAAAAAGGATGCATTTCATTTTATTAAAACAGCTTTGTTACAGCTTTAATACCATGATCGTTTACTGTAAGCAATTGCAGTTACAGGTTAGCCTATCATGTGTGCTCAAAGGCATGTTGTTATGATGGTTAAATTGGGTGGTATAGGGACACACTAAGAGACTACAGACTGAATGAGATGCTTCAAACAATGAAGCCAGTCGGGTTGCTCTCGAGGAGGCTGTTGTGCAGGACGGCATGCAGGTCAGAGCAGGAGAGTACTGGATTCTCAGTGTGATGTATCCCTGCCCTGACACAAATGATGTGAGGAGAGAAAGCAGGATGTTTTCGCAGCAGCATAGGTTGGAGTCCCTTGACCATATTCCCAATGTGGAAGAAGTCTTTTGTAGATGAGAATGACATCTATCTCTCTCCCAATTTCTGCTAGCATTTGTGCCTCGATTCTGACCTCACTCCTGGATGTGCTGGTAATTAAGATGTGATATAAAATCAGAAAGGAATTGCATTTGCTGTCTATATACCACAGCTCAGAAAAGTCTGTCACTGATGGGTTTATCTAAGAAGTTGTAACTCCTTCTGCATGTGGTTCTTAAATTTATGAGAATTTTAACTTTTAAAATTAATTGCAAATTTTGACAATCAGAACCAGGGACTAAGACCAAGCTTGCTGACTAAAATCAGTCAGGCAAACTTTCAAGTATAGTCTGCTGGGTTGTTTTTTTTTTCTCTTTTCTTTTGTCCAGATACTATATAGAATATTTTCTGCAAATAGTCTTGCTTGAAATCTTAGGGGGGAAAAAAAGTGTTTTGTAAACATTGTCTTCACTGAGAAAGACAATAATGAACTGGGAAAAGAGTTACCTTTTTGTAATTTCTCTTCGAGTGAATCATATTAAAAGGGTTGGCTCCTATATGCCAAGGTGCAAGGAGAAGTGGGACCCTCTTTTTCCATCACAAAACC